ATCACTTTCTCAAGCTTCCTTTTCCTAAGTCGACTCTACAGTCACTGATAAGTCAGATAGACAGATAAACAGGTATATAGATACAGATATAGGTAGATCAAATAGTGCTAGGCACTGTCATTTAAACCAAAGGTCTTTTTTAATCAGGCCTCACTTCCTGTGTTTGCTGACTTCACTTGCTATACCTCTGAATTCACTCCCTTTTCTGAGCCACAGATGTTTTTTCTCCCTGGAGTGCCCATCCTATAGGACCTGCTTCCTGCCTCAGTTCCCCACCATCATCCTTAACCTTAATATTGTTTCTTGGTATTCTCAGGGTTACTGGCTTACGGTGGACCTGATTCCCTATTTGTAAAATGAAAGGGGATCTTTTGGGACAGATAGTCTATGTTCTTTGAGGAGACTTGATTGTGCCTCTTCCTTCAAGGCTTCACTTCCTGTATATCCCTGCCAAATGTGGTTTTATTTCTTTTCTGGCTCTGACCTCATTTCCTGTCCTTGGCCTGATCTCACTTTCCACTGGCTAACTGCCACCCCACTCCCACTTCCTTACTCTCCATTCTTTTTTTTCCTTAGGGAATTCTGGACAAATAATTATTTGACTGAAGGGGGCCTCTTTGTTCTGTATCCTTTGTCCTCCTTAAGCTATCTCTGCTGAGTAAATTTTAAGTCCTGTAATACACCAGAGGTGGCCTTTAAAATACCCAAGAAACTCCTGGAAAGCCTTTCTTAAGTCTTGAGGTATCCCCGTCCTGATGAATGCTAGAAACCCAACTGGAAAGTAGGAATCTGCTCATGGAGACCTTTAGGGTAGTGAAGGGACAATGGACTACAATTCCCAGAAACCTTTGGTGGAGCTCCCCAGGATCTTCATGCTCTACCACCCAGGAGCTTCTAGGGAGTTGTAGTCTGATCACTTGTTTGCATCCCTGTATCTCCTTAGACTCTGTATTCAACACTGCCGGCTCTCCTGGATAGTAACCCTTTCACAGCTGGGGCAGAGCTGCCAGGGCCTGGTGCAGAGCTGGAGGCCATGCCTCCGGGGTTGAGACCTACCCTGGGCGTGTTCCAGGCAGCCCTGGAACTGACCAGCCAGTGTGAGCTGCACCCGGACCTCGTATCTCAGACTTTCGGCTACTTGTTCTTCTTCTCCAATGCATCCCTTCTCAACTCGCTGATGGAACGAGGTGAGGGTCAGACTGGGAAGGAACTGGGAGGTAGAGACAGGAGCCACTGAGACCCACGTCAAGTCAGACACACCACAGGCAGAGGTCTCTCCTTTAGGAACTCTGGAAAGCAAGTTCCAGATCCCCAGATGAAGGATAGGAAGGATGTGGGAGGCAGCAGTAAAGGGTTTATGCACAGTCCACGCACTCGTTGCCCCTACTACTCTTCCTCCACAGGTCAAGGCCGACCTTTCTATCAATGGTCTCGAGCTGTTCAAATCCGAACCAACCTGGACCTTGTCTTGGACTGGCTGCAGGGGGCTGGGCTAGGTGATATTGCCACTGAGTTCTTCCGGAAACTCTCCATGGCCGTGAACCTGCTCTGCGTGCCCCGCACCTCTCTGCTCAAGGTGATTCCTGACCCCTGACCTGTGACTCCTCAGTCATCCTCTGTATTCAGCTTACCCTTGGATCTTCCCTTGGACTCCATGTTGCCCCCAGTCCCAGTTCAGACACCATGGATGATGCCTTGACAGCTATTATAGAAGGAAACCAACCACAACAGTGTCTAAACAGAATCCCAATGGGACTTATTAATAGTAGTTTCCAGGGCCTCCTCCCTCAGACATGCTGATTCAAGAAGTCTGGTGTGAGACCAAGGAATGTGATAGTTAAAATATTCATTGAACATAAACTACATGCTGGACACTGTTTAGCACTTCTAGTTGAATGCTGACCAAGCCTTATGAAGTAGGTTATTGACATTTTTTTTCAGACAAGACGACTGAGTATTAGGTAGGATAGGTCACTTGATTTCATTTATTTATTTTTACTTGTCAAACTTACAGAGCATTTAGTAAGCACCAGGCAGGGTTCTAAGTATAATCTTTATAATAATAATAAATAATAAACTTTATAATCTTGCCATGTTGAATCCTCATACCTAGTAGATAGTTCCTAATCTCCCCCAATTTACAGATGAGGAAACTGAGGCACAGTAACTTGTCAGAGGTAATAAGTCACCAGGTTGGAGTTTTTTTTGTGTTTTTTTTTTTAATTGGGGAGCTGGGGGAGGGGAACAGCATTGGGGAATCAGGGAAGAGGAACAGACAAGTTGCTGTCCTTTTGTTCTTCAGTCTAGTTGTGGAGGGCATTGCTTCACTGGCCCAAGTTGGCACCATCATTGCACTCTTCCCGGGCGAGGCAGATCAGTCACCGGCTTCTGGAGGGCCATTCACTGTGGCTGCTGGCGGCTCACGCTAGCTGCTGGCTACACACGGTAGCCCATGGCAACGCACTGCAGCAAGGGCTGCAGCCTACGCCTTCGCAGCGACTCAGGGCAGCCCAGCTCCAGGTTGAGCTGTTGTTTAGTATCTTAACAGTAGAGGGCAGTGTCACTGGCCCGCATATGTGGGATCTAAACCAGGGCCCTCTGGCATCCCAAGCCAGCTCTTAACCAATGTGCCACTCGGCCGGCCTCCAGGTTGGAGTTTTTGAATCCAGGCAATCTGGGTCAACAATCTCTGGTTTTAACCACAATAATGATTCTGATGCCAACTAGGTTAGGTGTAGAAAATTTTCAAACACACACAAAAAGTAGCCACAGTGGAATAATGAATCTCCAGGTACACATCTATACATCACCAGCTTCAATGATATAAATTAATGGCTAATTTTGTTTCTTCTCTGCCCCACTCTACTCCTATCTTCATTTATTCTGAGGGACATCATTCATATATGATATATATAAATATATGATAAATGATTATATTTATATTTATATTTATACATATTAAAGCTGAGAGCATTCTCTTCTCTATCATCACCTTGGTGACAACCAGGCTTCACAGTGCACAAAAGATATTGCACAGACACCACTATATTCACCCCGTTTATGGAGGGCCTTCCATTTAGGATTTCTCAGCTGCTCCCTAACGACCAAAGACTTACCACCTCATCTTCCCACCAGGCTTCATGGAGCAGCTTACGAACTGACCACCCGACACTGACCCCTGCTCAGCTCCACCATCTGCTCAGCCACTACCAGCTGGGTCCTGGCCGCGGACCACCGCCTGCTTGGGACCCTCTCCCTACAGAACGAGATGCTGTGGACACAGGTAAGGAGAAATGGGGACAGAGGCATTGGCGCTGTCAGCTTTCTTCTGTCTTCAGGACCTAGGAATCCATAGCCCCAGCCCCTTCCTCCTTCTGACTTAGGATTTTGGATCCCTTCCCCTCTCCTACCCCAGGACCTAAGTGCTGGTCCTCAACCCCTTTTCCCCCCAGGATACAGGAGTTCAAAGCCCCAGTTCCCTCTTTTTTCCTAGTTCAGGCCCACAGCTTCTTCCCCCCACACACTACCCTCCCCGTCATCTGGAGTCCCATTGCCTCCAGGCCCCTCATTCGAAGGAATCCGTATAACTAAGTTCCCAGCCCTTCCTTCTTTATGGAGTTAAGAACCCAACTGCATCGTCTCTTTCCCAGGCAGCGGTGACTTTTCATAGTCTGAACTACAACTCCCATGATGCTTTGGGACTCCAAGAGTCGCGTTTGAGTGGAACCCGCTCCAGGAGTTGCGGGGGATTGAAGTTTTTCCTTCCTTCAGGCACTTCGGCTCTCTCTGACACTGCTGCCTAACGCCCATTTTCAGAATTTAACTCCGTCTTCTTTGGCCTCATAGGGGACATCTTCGAAAGCTTCTCTTCCCATCCTCCCCTCATCCTGCCCTTGGGCAGTTCGCGCCTGCGCCTCACGGGTCCCGTGACCGACGACTCTCTGCACTGTGAACTGCGCAGGCTCCGCCGTCTCCTCTGGGATCTTGAGCAGCAGGAACTGCCGGCCAATCACCGCCACGGGCCTCCTGTGGTCACGCTTCCTTGAAAACCAATAGCAAACGAGTGCGCGAACCTTAAAACTTTATCAGCTTCTACTCACTGGAGCCCGCCTGAGGGCAGAGATTTCTGGGAATTGTAGTTCTTTCGCCGCGTGGAATGCTGGGAGTTTGAATTTTTGGGTCGTAGAGGATGGGACCGTGGGAAGATGGGCTTGGGTTTTGAGTGCCAGGAGCAATAAAGTTATCTGTGGTATTGGCAACGCCTCACTTTTTAAGGCCTGGGAGCGCTAGTAATGATTTTTTTGCGGAATATAGCACTAGGGCCCTTGCCTGGAACTTTGAGCTCCTGCCGACTCCAAGGAGGTATTTATAGCCACGGCCTCAGCTTGCCCTCTTGCGCGTAATCCAACCCAGGAGCACTGGAGCGTCCCACGAATCTCAGGACAGAGCTCTATGTGTGCTCTGCCAAATAGCAGGCCCTCAATCCTGCCAGTGGGAACCAGCCATCCTCTCGTTTTAACTCCGAAAGTCCATATTCCAGCTCCCTCCTCCTCAAACCCAGGAAACTGGGTTCCCAGCCTCCTTCTGGACTTTTCTGCCTGTCGGGCACACTGCCGAGTCCCAACACGTTTTGTCTCTATTCCCATTATTCAGAAGTCTGGGCCCTCAACCTCCTTCTCCCTCAGACCCAGGAGTCCAGGGCTCCAGTGTGAACTTTTCATTCCCCTGAATCTGACTCCTGCTGCTGCGTCAGGGAAAAAGTAGGCGACAGGTGGCACCTGCCTTCAGGGTCGGGACGCGACCACCTGCCCCTGTTGCTCACCCGGCGCCACTCTCCCGGCACCTGCTTCTGTCAGTCCGCCCGCCGCTGCCGCACCCGACCCCGTAGCCCCAGGGCGCTGAGGAGGAGCGAGCCAGGGAACCCCAAGGTCCGCCCCGCCCCAGTCCCTCCCAGCCCGTGCTCCCGCCCCTTTTCGGAGTCCCAGGCGAGGCTTCTGTCTCCCCCACCCCGCTTTACAGACTCCCAGCACGCCCCCAAAAGGGAGTCTCAGGCTGGTGAGGCGGAGCTTACGGCCTCCAGCCTAGACCGCGGGACTCTACCTGCTCCAGAGCACAGCTACACGGAACCCACCTGGTGAGAAGCCCCTGGGGTGGAGAGGAGGAGACCCACCTTAATTCTTCTGTCCCCTCTCTGGTCCCAGTCCCTTCCCCATAGAACATGGTGGCTGACACCCACCCACTTGCTTCTCAAATGCAGATGGCAGAGACCCTTGCTTTTCCCAGGGATCTATTAGGTCCCTTTCCCTTCTTGACCCAGGATGTTGAATTCTAGTCCCTTCAGAGTATTGAGTTTCAGCCCTTCACCCCCTTCTCCTGCCTCCATTTTCATAGACCCAGCGGTCCAGGCCCCCAGTGCCCTCCTTCTTAGGACCCAGGAGTCCTGGATCCCAAGTCCTTCCTCTCCCAGGCTCCAGGAATTGGGGTCCCCAGCCCCCCCCCCTCTCAGGATCCAGAAGTTAAGTCCCCAGACTTCTCCTGTCCTTAAGTCCTTCAGCCCCATTTCCCTGCCGCGTTCACGTGCAGGGGCAGCCTCCTTACCTCCATGCTGACCCTGACTCCTGTGGGGGTCCTGCCCTCCCCCCAGTCCAGGTCCCCATCCCAGCCTTGGCAATGACCCTGGTGGCTTCCTCCCAGCGCTCCCAAATCATTCGCTCCAAGTTCAGATCTGGTGAGAGGCTTCTGTCTGTGCATACATGGAAGTGGTACCCTGGGTCTGGGGAATTCTCTAACTTGGGGAGTGTGCACAACAGGGTGAGGTGTTGGGGGCAGTGGGACCCACCACGCATGTGTTTTCTGTGCAAACGAGCATGTATGCAGAAAGGAAGCCCCAGCAAAGGAGTCGAGTTGTGATGGATCAATGAGTGTGCAAATGGCTAGTACAATGCTCACGTGGACAGTGGGGGGGGGGTGGCTAGAGGTGGGTGTGCATAGGGTCAGGTACTGCAAAACAACAGGATCTTAAACTGACATGTGTGCAAAGTGGAGAGGTGGAGGGAATGGGGAATTCAGAACCACCAGTGTTGGAGTGTGGGCGAGGGGACAATGAGCTATCAGGTCCTGAATGTCAAAGGTTGTATTTTAGGTCGCAGTGCATGTGGAAAGTGGGCAAGTGGGTGGAACTGGAGGTCAATTGCTAAGTAGACAAAGGGTACTTGAGTGTGTAAATGAGTGTGCTTACATGGTTGGGTGGGTGTAAAGACACCAGCAACCAAAGAGCAAGGAGTACTCAAAACTGCATGTGTACAAAAAGCAGAAATGTGCAAAGGGAGATCCTTGCTCCAAAACCAGGGGCCAAATACTGAATGTGCAAATAAGTGTGTTAATGTGGCTCGGTGGGTGCCAACATGGAGTGAGCCAAGGGTGAAGAGTATCAAAGGGTACAAGGGCAAAAAAGTGGATTTTGTGCAAAACTAGAGCCTGTAAATACATGTTTAAAGGTGAGTGTGCAGAGGGGGTGACTGTGGGAAGATCCAGGGGCAGCACAGAAGGGAGCAAGCATGTGCAAAGTGGAGTGCATGGATAAAAGCAGGTGAGGTACAAATGGACCAGGCTGTCAAAATGGCAATTGTGCCAAGAATAAGGTGGGCACACGCTAGAGAAGGGGGCAGGTGGAGCTGGGGGCAGGGATGCCTCCTGCCTGCACACTGGCTGGCACCTAGCCCCAGAATGGCTCTGGCCCTCGGCGCTCTGCTGGCAGGGAGCAGGCGGGAGGCCCAGGAAAGGGAGCAGGCTGCCCGCCCACCCGCCTGCACGGGGTGTGTGTAAGGGGGCTGGGCACGCCTGTTCTGCCAACAACTGCAGCTCGCATCGCCTGCCAGGCCAGGCTCCTGGACACTCCCTTCCCGCCTTTCTCCTCCCACCCCCTTCCTCCTTCCACAGTTCTCCAGCTTCGGATCCACAGACGGTATCAGGACCCAAGTAAGTATGGGCCCTGAAAGGGAGGGGATGGTGACCGTATTCCCTTGGGGCACCCTGGAGTGCAGCTGCTAGATAACCTTGCTGGTTCCCGAGACTCGGTCCCTATGCCCCAGGAGACAGTGAAATCGCATCCTGTCCTCCCCAGAGGTTCCAGGAGTATAGGTCTCTGCCACCCCACCCCTAGGAACTCTGCGTCCTGCTCCAGTTTTTCCCACTCCAGTGGGAAATGCATGAACCCAGAAGAAAACGTTCCCGACTCCACACTTGGCACACATAGGAATCTCAGGATGTGGCTTTCAGCTTCTCTCTCTCCTCAAGAAACAGTAGTGCTGGCCCCACCCCTGTCCCAGCAAAACCCCAGAAATCTGTAATCCTCAGTCACCACACCCTTTGGTGACTGAGTACAGAACTTCTGCCTTTCTTGAGAATGTAGAAGTCTGGATTTCTAGCACCTCCACCCATAGATCCAGAAGTCCTGGCACCCAGCTTCCCACCACTTGGATTTCCCTCCGTGGTCCTGTTCTCCCGCACTGGGGGTTGAAGCCTCCAGGGTCCTCCTTCCCACACAGTCTTGTTCCTCCCTGCCTGGCTTGCTGTCTGCAGACTTCTTGGGGTCCTTCGCCACCTCTCCAGTCTTGAATCCAGATCCGTGGATCTCAGCTGCAGGCCCAGCTCTGGCTCAGGCCCCAGGCTTGCCCTCGGGCCCCGCCCCATTCCTTTTCAGCCCTGGGGACCTGAACCCAGAGCCAAAAAGCTGCCCTTGGAGGTCCCCGAAGGTGAGTCTCCACTGGAGTGAGGGGAAGTACCCCTGAGAGTCTAGCCTTGGTCTTCCTTGCTGCTGCCTTTTTTGCTCCTCTCTGGTAGTGCCAAGCTGACCCCATACTTTGCATGGGACTCTGGGGCAGGGAAGTGGGAACGGAGCTGAAGCATAAGACATCACACCTGCTTTTTCAGGCGTCTCCCAAGATCTCCTCACATTGGAGGGAGTCCAAGCCCAAGGGGAACTTGACATACCACCAATACATGCCCCCAGAGCCAAGACAAGGGTCCAGGACAGATCTTCAGGCCAAAGGGTCAGCCCTGGGTCCCCCTGGGCCACCTCTGTGGGAAGAAACAAACTCACAGCAGCCACCTCCTAGGTATGACCTGTTTCTGTTCTCCAGGAGGTTCAAGGCCCCAGTATCCTCTTCCATCAAACTCAGAGTCAAACTCAGAGTCCAAGGGGAGTCCAGCCCTTAGCTCCATCCTTCCTCAAGACTCAAGAGTCCAGGTCCCCAGCCATTCTTCCTTCAGTTCCCAGGAGTCCTCGCTTTGACCCAAGAGTCTAAGCCACCAGTCCCTTCTCTCCATGCACAGGAACCAGCCTTCTAGGCTTGCTCCCTCTGAGACCCAGAATTCTGGGTCTGCATTTCCTCTGTCTTTATGAGCCCCTGTCTTTGAGGAACCCAGAATACCTTTTCTCTCTGTCCCTTCTAACTTGTTTCCCCCTCACGACTATCGCCAGGATGAAGCCCACTCCCCTCCCTCCCTCCCTCCCAGGAGTCCCCAGCCCCTCGCCTCCTCCACACAAGTTGGAACTTCAGACCCTTAAACTGGAGGAGTTGACGGTAAGTGTGCGGAGCAACTTCCCAGGCTGGCCCCCTTTCTCGGTGGGGACGCAGAAGTCTAACCCAGTAGCCTCTGCTCCATCGGAGATCCAGGAGCCCGGGACCCCAGTCCCTCCTCTCTCGGTTTCCAATTGTCCAGCCCGGGTCTCCGCTTGCACCCCGGAACCTGTCCAGCACGTCTCTCCCTAACCCCCACCCCAGGTCTCAGAGCTCCGGCAGCAGCTGCGCCTGCGGGGCCTCCCCGTGTCAGGGACCAAGTCGATGCTCCTGGAGCGCATGCGCGGCGGCGCCCCGCCCCGCGAGCGGCCCAAGCCGAGGCGCGAAGAATGTTCCGCGGGTGCTTCCTGGCCACGCCTTAGGCCCAAGGCCCTGGGAGCCGCCCGGCGGCCGGGCTCGGTGAGGGCGGTGGACCATTGAGGAGAAGACAAAGCTGGACGGAGCGGGAAGTCGAAAAAAATTAGCCAATGAAATGCGGGAGTGCGTGGTTAAGAGGAAAGGGGGGAAGAGAAGCCAATGAAAGAATGAAGGGCGTGGCCGAAAGCGGGGGATGAGGAGCGAAGGGCCCAGACAGCACCAGGGGGTGGAGCCACAGGTTGTGAGTGGGAGGGGTTGCCCTCAGTGGGCGTGGCTTATAGAAACTCACCCTCTTCTGGGTTTTATCTAGACCAAGCCAGGCCCAGCATCTCACCCCTCGCCTCTTCCACGTGCCGCGGAAACCCTTGTAACAGCTCCGGCTCCCCCTCAGACTCCAGCTCAAGTGCTGACCCCTTCCTCAGCACCAGCCTCTGTGGCCCAGACTCTGGAGGAGGAGCTGCAGGAAGCCATCCGGAGGGCTCAGGTGAGAGGGAGTGGGCTAGTGGTCTCCGGTCAAAATCCGGGCCAGAGTCCCCGGTTCACTCCGCTTCTGCCCATCCGCAGTTGCTTCCCAGCCGGGGCATTGATGACATTCTGGAAGACCAGGTGGAGCCTGATGGTGAGAGCCGAACTCCTAGATTTGAGGGTAAAGAGGGCTGGACTCTTGGAAACAAGGAATCCCTAGGGGTCTGGGGCCAGGATCCATGACTTCCTAAGCTTACACTCCATTTCTTCCCCTGCAGACCTGCTGCCTCCCATCCCTCTGGACTTCCCCGGCTCTTTCGATGTGCTGTCCCCCTCCCCAGACTCTGAAGGCCTCTCATCTGTCTTCTCTTCCTCGCTCCCATCCCCTACGAACTCCCCGTCCCCCTCTCCCACAGACTCCTTGGACTGGCTGGAGGCTCTAAGTGGGGGTGCCCCGCTGGGTTGTGGTCCCCCAGCCCCCAGCATCTTCTCTGCTGACTTATCTGACTCCAGTGGCACCAGACTGTGGGACCTGCTGGAGGATCCATGGTGATGGATTCTGGGGTTTCCAGGGACTGAGAACTGGTGGGGATAGGGAGGTCAGAGCAACAGACTCCCTGAGGGAGGTGTTGAAACAACCAGCAGAGTCCCCTCCCACAACAGACACAGAATCAGAAACAACTCTCATCTCCACCTAGCCTCTGAACTGCTGCTGACATGCCAACCACCAGACTTTGCCTGCCTGACCATAGGATCTCCTCCATGGTTTTGTGGTTGGGGGTGGGGAGGTTTCATTGTTACTGGCCAGGGCAAACAAGCTGCTTGCTGCTTCCTTCAGAGACTTCTTGGATGTCTTCTTCCCCCATCCCACCAACTACATGGCTGCCTTTTGCTGGGATGTCTGGAAGGTGGTCTGTGCTTTTTGGATGCAGGAGAGGGACCGGGAAGAGTCGGGAGGGAGAATCAGGAGCCAGACCCTTGGCTTCTGGTTGGAGATGAGAAAATCGGAAGCATTGTGTCTGAGGTCAGATTCTCTTGGAAGCAGAGCCTGAGGCAAGATTCATGTGTCCGTGAGTTATTAAAGAAATGCTCCCAGGCAAAGCCAAAAAGGAGTGGATGAAACAGGACAGTGAAGGGGAAGAAGACCAGTAGGAGTATGATGTCCCAACCTCAGCCTGATCCCAGAGGATAAATTAAGTTGCAGAGTCTTTCCCACCTTGAGGCAAAGAGAACTTCACCTTTGAGGCGAAGGGAGATAGATCCCTGTTTGGGTTTTTATCACTGAATAACAAGCGACCCTAAAACTTAAGTCTTAAAATAATAACTGTCTACGATCTCTCACAATTCCATGGGTTGACTGGCTCAACGAGGCAGTTCTTCAGCATCCTATGTCAACCAGGGCTGCAGTCATCTTAGGGCCCAACTGGGCTGCACCATCCAAGATGGCACACTCAGATGTGTCTGGTGCCTTGGCAGGGATGGCTAGTAGGCTGGACCCCACTGGGCTGTGGACATATGGACTTCTCTCATTCTCTGTGTAGCCTTAATGCTGTCCCTCTCCATGTGGTGTCTCCAACAGAGTGATGACTCTACATGGAAGCTCAGGGCTTCCCAAAGTGAGCATTCCTAGAGGAAAAAGCAGAAGCTGCCAGTCTCCTAAAGACTAAGCTTAGAACTGGCACAGGCTCGCTTCCCCCACATTGGTTAATGCAAGTCAGGCCAGCCCAGGCTGAATATGAAAGGGGACCACACAAATGTGTGAATATTGCGGTCATGGTCATTGAGGGCCATATTTGGTCCTCTATTCAGATATGGGATTGGGACACAAACTCCCAGGCATTTTGACCTCAAGGACAGTCCTGGGAAGAAAGTCATAGTGTAATTCGTGAGCAGCAAAGTGTTTTAAAATGTAGGTTTTATAATTACTCACGTATGGTGAGGTCAAAAGATCAGGAGATGGTTGTCATTGAAAAGATCGTTTGTTATTCTCACAGATCCCAAAAGAAGGAAACACACCAAGCCATGTAGGACCACATGGGGAAACTCCATGGTCAGCCAGGAGGCCGAGGGAGAGAAGGGAACCGTGGGCAAGAGTCTTTATTGTGGTTTCCTTGGGAAGGAACAGATGAGGCAGGGTAAACAGGTTTATGATTGGCTAGCTGGAATAATTTCAGTAGGCTCTGGGCTGTCCCTAGCTGTCTGGAAGGTGGCCCTGGAGTGATCAAGCAGAGGACTAGTGGCCTGGAGTATAAAAGCTCCAAAAAAGTGGTTGGGAGTCTGGGCTGTGGGTTGGTTGGTTTGCATATGAAATATATGCTCACATGTGAGGTTTTTTTTTTTAAAGGTTTTATTGAGGCAAGGAGAACAGTGTTGGGTAATTGGGGGAGAGGAACAGCCAAGTTATTGTCCTTCAGTCTTAGTTGTGGAGGGCTCAGCAAGCTCAGCTTCAAGTCCAGTCACCATCCGGCTGCCTGTTGGCAGTTCATAGCTGCTCAGCTTAAGGTGCCATGTTCAATCTTAGTTGCGGGGGGTGCAGCCCGCTATCCCATGCGGGAGTCTAACCAGCAACCTTGTGGTCAGGAGCACATGCTCTCACAAACTGAGCCATCCTGCCTGACAGCTCAGCGGCAGCTCAGCTGGGGCACAGCTCACTGGCCCATGTGGGAATCGAACCGGCAACCATGTTGCTCAGAGCCCGCGCTCTTAACCAACCGAGCCACTCAGTTGGCCCCCACACATGAGTTTTTTTTATTACCCCTAGAAACTTGCTAGCCCTGGGATGGGCAGTCCCTCCAATGACAGCAAGTTCCCAGATGTCAAAGCACCACAAATACTGGGGAAAGAAGGCATGATTAATTTACAAAGCTTACAGTAGCTGGGGGCTGGGTGAACAGAACTGGTAAAAGTAATCTGAGGGGACCTGGCCTGGCCACCAACAGTGTCGACTACAGGTGGAAAAGGACAACAGATCGGTTACATGTGACAGGACCTAGAGCCAGTGACATCTCCTTGGCTTGCGTCAGTTTCCTCATCTGTACCTTTAGCCCAGTGTGTATGACAGTGTTCACTGAGATTGTCCACAAACTGGACCTGGCATATGAGACTTGCCGATAAATATTAATCACCATTCTTAACTTCTGACCGACCATTCTAATGCCTTAACATGTGTAAACTCTGGTGGACATTAGAGATCCACGATAAAAAAGGCAACAGAACGAATACTCATTACTATGAGGCAAAGGCAATCTTTGGTGTCTTCTGAACCCATCAGGTTGGTTTTGTCATCCTTACTTTCCAGATAAAATAACTGAAGATCAGAGAAGGGGAGTGATATGCCCAGTGTCACACAGATGGGAGGTGTTGGAGTGCGGTTTTAAATCAGATCACAGCGTGTGTCCTCAGAGTTGAAAAAACCAAGAGCCTCAATCTCAAGCTCAGGTATTTGCAGACAGTACCAGTGCAGGGTGATAAGTATTTTTGTGGCTTGGCACACGGCATTCCAGAGCCATGACTCCTGGAAAAGACCAGGAGCTGTGGGGGAATGGACAGGGTGGTCAGAGAAAGGATTTTTGTTGAGCTTAAAGGATGAGGAGGAGCTGGTTAGAGGAACCTGAAAGACAGCATCCTTGTAGAGGCAGAAGAATATGCAAAGGCCTGAAGGTGTCAAGCGTGCGGCCATGGGGGAACCTTGTGAGGTCAGGTTTCCTGGAGCAAAGGTGGGTGGCTGCTGCAGCAGAACCCAGGCTGGAGAGATGGGTGTCGGCTGAGTCTTGTAGGACCCTTCATGTCAGGCTGCAAACTGGTGGGAAAGGGGTGCAGTCAGTCCTGGAAACATCAGTAAGGGGTGTGGCAGGCTTCTTCTGTCTGTCTCCATTTCCCTTCAGACACTTCTATGCTTATATCTATCTCCATAACAATCTGTCCCCATGTCTACCTGACTCCGTGTCCTTGTCACTCTCCGTCTCCATCTCTCCTGTGTCCAGAAGAGGGCAGCCTTGGGCTGAGAGCCTGCAGGGCCTGTGGGAAGCCCCCAAAAGAGTCATGGGTAGGGCCTCTGAGAGGCGTGGGTGGAGTGTTCCAGTTGGAACCCAGTGCCTGAGGGAAGGGCTTGGATCCTGTGCCCTTCACAGGGCTTGTCATCCAGCCCTTCTCCAGACATGTCAGTCTCTCCCTCCTGCCCCTGAGAAGAGGGCTGGGCCTCCCCACAAAGGCAGCAGGGAAAAACTGAGGGCTGGACCAATGTAGGGGGCACAGGAAGCAGGTCAGCTAAGGAGTCCTGAGCACCCCTAGGGGACCCCCTGCACCACGCTGCCATCCCATGGTCGTAAGACTGTGGGAGAATGGGCATTTATTTATTTATTTATTTTAATTTTTCTAATTTTTTCTTATTGAGGAACAGCCACAGTCACAGGTTACACATTGTTGTCATGCTACAATGGCATAGTTGACTCTTTTTTTTTTTTATGGAGGGCGCAGCTCACAGAGGCCATGCGGGGATTGAACCGGCAACCCTGGTGTTATCAGCACCACACTCTAACCAACTGAGCTAACCAGTCACCCCAAGAATGAGAATTTATACATGGCTGGACAGAACATAAAATTTTCCCGTCACGCAGAAGTATTGAGTTTAAATGCACACTCCTTGACCCAGAAATTTCACTTCCAGTAATACATCCTAAAAAAGCAATTATCAGTATGCATGCATAAAAATTTCCCACACTACAGCCAATAGTGACAAATGACAAGGACATTCTCCTTGGCATTATTTATAGTAATAAACCCCAACAAACAACCTAAAAATAAAAATCTTCAATTGGAGCATGGATGTGACATGGCTAATCAACACGATGGAATCTTTTGCAACTACCAAAGGGACTGGAAAGATGTTTACTATGTAGGAGATTAAAAAAGAAAAGCAAGTTGTCAAAGTGTGTAGGATTTCATATTTGCAAAAAGCAAAACAAAAAATGATATATGATCCTTTTACGTTCGTTGATTAAATTTTTAGTTTGAATTTCTTTTATTTTTCTTTTCATGAGCTTGCTCTTTTTTTTTCTATTTAGATAGCTCAACATTATTTGTTAAGAATCTGTCTTTTCACTACAAATTTGTAATGCCACTCTCAGCATACATTTAATTCCCCAATGTATTTCT